CCCACTCTGTCTCTGGTGAAGCCTCTCACCGCCCCTGAGCCTCTGGCCTGTACCCCAGTTCTGTATGCACAAATAAATAAATCTTAAAAAAAGAAACAATTTCAGGTAGAAAAAACAACTGAGCAAAGCATGGTTTGCTACTGGGAAAGCAAGGTGGCCACTGCCTCTGCAGCTTGCTGGACAAAAGGAAAAGAAGTTTCAGGTGAGACGGGAGATCATACTGTGTAATGTCTTATGGGTCGTGGTGAAAAGTTTGGATTTGTACTGAGAAGCCACTGAAGAGTTTAAGTGGGACTGTATCATCTGATTATGTCTGCGGAAGTAAACCTAGAAGTGGACAACAAAAAAATTGTCTTCAGAAACACAGGTTATCAACTGGCAAAAGAAAGCTAAAATTCTTACATCGTGGACAGAGTCTAATATGATCACTCTATGATGGATTATTACAACCTTCCAGGAAATAATATTTCTGCATTACATATGCCATCTAAAGTGATACTTTCAATACAATTAACTTATACTACCCTTTCCATAAGAGATGTAAGAAGCTCTGTAGACAAAGTGAAGCTGAAAAGAGCTGAGCAGTCTTACTACATAAAATGTCCTCAGCTATATAAACTAAGTTCTCTAAACCAGCACTGTCCAAATGGGAGCAATCAGCCATCTAGACCAGCTTTCCCTCCTTATTCCATGAATTCCATGATAGTTGATTACAGTTGCTGTTGTTGTAGCTCTCAGGATTAAGCTTAATTACTATCTAATTTAGCCAGTTTGGGAAAAGAAAGTAGTATTTTTCTGAGTAAATTTATTCTTTTTAAAGGTAAATTTATAATATTTTAAAGGAAACTTCCCTAAAATCTTATATAAACTTTGCACTGCCTTCCAAAAAAAGATTCAGAATGAGTATCTATTCTTCTGTTGTGCTATAACTCACACCACACTTTTGCGCCTACTTTAGAACTCTATAGCCTTCTCCCACATTGTTAGAGGAGCGACAGTGGTAGTTACAACCTGTGTGTCGCTGTTACTAACAGCACCTGTGCATACTCCTCTTGGCATGCTGCTTCTACAAGCCCCGGCAAAAGAGGCTCAAGGCGCTTATTTCAGAATTTCAAAAAGGCTGTCCCTGAACATCAAGATATTGAGGAATAGCTTATATACATGAAGTGTAATTATAGTAAGGAATTAAGGAGAATTTGTCTATTTAGCTTGAGAAGCACTATAATAGTCAGAAATTGATTTCATAAGAACCAAAACAGAGCTGTTTCAGGCAACGTTTCAGATTTACGTGAGCACACACACACACTATTATCGAAAGACTTCTGCAATTAGGTAGTAATACACCTACCTGTCCAGAGTCAGGATCTAGCTTCACTTTCAAACTGGGATCTTCACGCTGAAGGCATTTCAATGCATGATCCAAATCTAGAGAATAAAACTTATCTTTACATTTCATTTTTTATATAATACACCCTATCTTCTAGTGGAAAATAGGTGAATAGGCAAATAAATTTTGAAAAGAAAATCTCAAATAGCCATAAAAGCTTTGTAGAGAATTTATCAAGGTGATAAAATAGTGACGGGATAACCTGACATTATGTAACCTGGAAAGGCCTCTTCAGGATGATTTTAGGCGAAGATGCAAGCAAATAAAATAACCCTGTAAGCAACATGCTAAAGAAACAGAATTTCGGCCCTCCCTGGTGGCGCAGAGGGTTAAAGCACAGCAAAAGAAGCTAAAGCCACCTCAGCATTGAGTTCGATCCGCGCCTGCCCCGGAGGTGACCACATGGCGCGGCAGACCTCTCCTGGCCCGCCCGCTGCTCCCCTCAGCAGTGTACTTCATCAATCTGCCTGTTCTGC